CCTTAGGTGTACGTGGCTGGCGCCTTAGCCGGTTGAGCTATAGGCGCCGAGCCTTGTGTTCTATTTTTTAAGATAGAGTCTCGCTCTGTCACCTGGGGTAGAGAGTAGTGGCATCATCATAGCTGACTGTAACCTAAAACTCCTGGGCCTGAGTGATCCACCTGACTCAGTCTCTCCAGTAGCTAGGACTATAGGCACCTGCCACTACACCTGGCTATTATTTTTTCTATTTTTAGCAGAGACAGGGTCTGGATTTTGCTCAAGCTGGTTTCAAACTCCTGACCTCAAGCAATCCTCCTGCCTTGGCATAGAATCATAGGCATGAGCCACCGTGCCCAGCCCACATTTGGGTTTTCTGAGACTTTACCTAAGAAATTACAAATGCAACTTTATTCCAAACCAAACAGAAAACCTGGTTAGCACAATATGAAAGAAACAGAATAACAGATGGGGAATACTCTGGCATACCAACTGACTACTTTATTTTATTTTTTTGAGACAGAATCTCAAGCTGTCACTTCAGGTAGAGTGCCATGGCATGATCATAGCTCACAGCAACCTTCAACTCTTGGGCTCAAGTGATCCTCTTGCCTCAGTTTTTCTATTTTTAGTAGAGAGAGGGTCTAGCTCTTGCTCAGGCTGGTCTTGAACTCGTGAGCTCAAGCAATCCACCTGACTTGGCCTCCCAGAGCCACCTTGTCTGGCCTCCAACTGCTTTATTGTTTTATGAATACTGCTTTTATTTTTTTTGGGACAGAGTCTCACTCTGTTGCCCCAGGCTAGAGTGCAGTGTTGTCAACCTAGCTCATAGTAACTTCGGACTCCTTGGCTCAAACAATCCTCCTGCCAGTGCTCATCCCAATGTCCAGCTAATTTTTCCATTTTTAGTAGAGACTGGGTCTAGCTCTTACTGAGGCTGGTCTTGAACTCCTGAGCTCAAGTGACCCACCTGCCACAACCTCCTAGAGTACTAGGATTACAGGCATGAGCCACCGCACTGGCTTTGAACACTGCTTAAATGTACACCGCTTTAAATAAAGAGACCACACATGTTAGGATGTTGTTTGACCAAACACAGGGAGAAACCCAGTACTCACCCTCAGAATTGACTGTACTGTCTGCATGGGATAGGTGACCGTGGTGGCAATTGCCTTGGCTATTGCACCAATGATGAACACATCCAAAGAAGAAAGCTGGGAAGCAAACAAAGAACAAATCATAGCAATCCAAACAACAAGAAGGTGTCAGAGATTATTTGACTCCTTTTCAAATCAGGGATTACCTTCGTCCGTTTCTTTAAAAGCTGCCGTTTTAAACCTTCATAGAACATGAACTGGATGGCAGGATTGAAGACCAACAGCAAGGAGGGAAGTGTCCCATTCCATAAAGCCAAGATTCCTTCATCTCGAATGATCTGGTGAAAAGCATCTAAGCAAGAAATCAGAGACTTTTGGAAAGCATAATGACAATCCTCTAACTAAAGAAGACAATGTGAATTCTGGCCAAATATACCTAGAACACAAACCATATTAACTCTATAAAGATTTCCTTCTTGCAATATTATTTTGGGGGCATGTTTATCAGTTAACTTTTTTTTTTTTTTTTTTT